ACCCCTTTTTCATCATTCTGCTTCATTCTATCTCTAATCTCCCAGATATATTGAATCTGTTAATTCTAACTCTGACACTCACCTTCACAACTTCAAAAAATCCTACACTTATTGCACATCGCATTATCACTAAAGGAAGCAGAGGAATAACTGAACATCTGACACAGAGAGCAGGTGAGAGCATCTTTCTGTTATTGGTTTCTCTTCTTGCCATGGATTTTCCATATTACAAACCGTTTTAAGGCCTAATAGTGACCACTGATCAATGATTGACTTAGTTGTCATATCATCTGACCTGTGGGCACATGTCTTGGACATTTGAGTGAAATGAGGGGCAGAATTGTTTACCAAACACTACTTGGTTGTAGGTTAGCTTGGATGATGGAGGAGAATGCTGGCCTGAACTGAGAAGCCCAAGTATATTCATAGACTTTGGGAGGAATGGGCCAAAGACTAAGCTGGTATTACTGGAGGGGGCTGAGGTGGAGGTTGTGGATTAATACAAATACCTCTGGGTTTGACTGCACAAGAAACTGAACTGTTCAAAACACACCAACCACCTGCACAGGAAGACAAAGCAGCAAATCCAAGAAGGACACCTCCAGACTGAAAAAACTAGTCAGGCGATACAGCACTGTGATTTGCAAGAGGGTGGACTCTGGGGACAGTGGCAGAGACAAGGACACTTAACAAACTGCTGGACATTATTGGCAATATCAGCCACCCTCTGCACACTGTCCTTACCATTCATGAGCTTGATCTGAACCTGATTGCTCCTCCACAAATGCAGGACCAACAGACAGCTGAACTCCTTTGCTCCTCTAGCCATCAAGCTGTACAACTCCTCACTTGTGGGAAAGGTAGATGATAGGAAGAGTGACAAGGTTTAGCACTGTGAATGTCCTAATTGGAAATCTTGTGCAAAAAATTACCTACTGTCACTCATGTAATATTCTTCTCTCTCACTGTGCAATAACTCATGCCAACTACTGTGTAGCCTGTGTAATTATTTTAAAGGTCAGTACATCTCTGCAGTACAAGTGCAATAATCCAAGTCAACTATTGTGTAGTCTTTCCTTAGCTATCTACTGTACAGATGTTATTATATTTAAAAGAAACATATTCCAGGACATTAGAGCTTTTTTTGTGCGTTTTTGTACTATATACAATCGTGTTATATTTTCTGTTGTCTATGTATATTTAACTGCATCTTGCTTTAACTTTGCCCTTTATACTCTATATAAGCTAGTGGAACCAACATTTCCCTGAAAGAGTTATTCCAATGGATAAATAAAGTTGAGTCTAAGTCTATCCTGATTTTCTGTTGGGAATGTCTAAAAAAGTGCAAATCCCTTTATTGTCCCACAATGGGGAAATTCACTCTCTGCATTTAACCCATCCCCTTGGGAAGTAGGGGGCTGCAATTGTGCGGTGTCCGGGGAGCAGTGTGGGGTTAAGGGTCTTGCTCAGGAACCCAGGCTGTGGCAATCAAACTGGGTACTTGCAACCTTCTTATAGCACAAGCACATAGCTCTAACCAAAAGGCCAACACTCCCCAACTAGCAGTCTTCTAAGAGATGGAGATTTAACTCCAGCCTCGGGAAAACTTAAAAAAAAAGGTTTAGGGCATTGATTTTAAATGGGCCATGTTTCACACCTCCATAGTCCAGGTGGCTCATCAGAGCTGTGGGTGTGACGTTATTGGTGACTGTTTTGCTTGCAACCCTCAAACCCTCTGGTGGACATTTACAGTGAAGGATGTTGTCAGACTTAAGAAGGAGGCCTGTTTAACTTTGCTTGCCTTTCAAACTCTGGAAGCAGCTGATAGATCAAGTGGCATTCACCTTGTGTGGGTCACTGAGGCAAAAACACTGGTGTGGGAGAAGTTTGGAAAGGCCATGGAAAAAGAATTCTATGTGGTCTTGAGGTGGTGCTGTTCCACTATCCTGTTTCTCAGAAGGGGTAAAGCAGTACAGCACCAACACTGTTTATAGTGGGGATGTTGTGCTTCTGAGCTCAACTCATGACATTGTGAGCCGGTGGGTATAGAACTTCGAACACCTACTTAATCCCATCAGTACATCTTCAAATGGGAGAGTGGAGCCCGGTGACTTTAGATGGACTCCCCAGTTTCTGGCGCTGAGGTCACTGATTAGCCCGGATTTCCTCAAGGCACATCCTGGGGTTGTGTTGGTTAAAATGACTGCAATATTCAGTGCATATCAGATGAAGTTCTACTGGATTGGAAGACCAAGCTGGTGGTCCCCCTATCAAAAAAAGGGACTGGATGGTGTGCTCCAACTACAGAGAATTCTTAAAGCCTGTAACGTCTATTCATGTGAAGAGAAGTGTGGTTTTCATCCTTTTCATGGAAAGGGTGCTAGAGGGTTCATGGGAGTTTTCCCAACCAGTCTATGTGTGTTTTGTGGACTCGGAAAAAGCATTTGTCTGTGTCCCTCAAATAGTCCTCTGGGGGGTCCTACCACCCAAACCCTATTAATGACCAGAAAGACAAGGCAGACTCTTTCTTTGTCCAAAGCATTGTCTATTCTTTACCAATTTCTTTCAATTTTCCCTTTTAAACTGACTAACAGACACCAAGCTAGTTACAAGTCTATCCATTCATTATTGTATTTGTATCAACATATGGTATCATATTCCCAAATGGGGTCACAGGGAGACTGGATCCTATGCCAGCACTTAATGGCGAGAGTCCCTAGCCATACAGAGAAAGGCAATGAACGGTGCTGATGAGCTCTGTGAGGTCCTCAGCTATATCTATAACCTGAGCCTCAGCCAGGGGGTAGTCCCTACTCTGTGGGGACTCCTCCTGTGTGGTGCCGGTTCCCAAAACACCGCATGCCAAGGAACCGGCCCACTTCAGGCCAGTCACCCTGACCTCCCACCTGATGAAGACCATGGAGTGCTTCATCCTAGCACACCTACTACTGTGGTGAGCCCCACCCCTCACCCGCTGCAGCTTGCCTACTGGCCTGACATTGGAGTAGAAGTGGGGGGAGTGGCAGCCTAGTGGTTAGGGCATAGGGCTTTCCTGAGGTTGTGAGTTCGATCCCCCACTCCCACCGACTTCAACTCTGGGTCCCTGAGCAAGACCCTTAACCCCACACTGCTCCCCGGGTGCCGCACAATGGCAGCCCACTGCTCCCCAAGGGGATGGGTTAAATGCAGAGAAGTAATATCCCTCTGGGATTATTAGAGCATATAAAAAAAAATAAATAAAAATAAAAAAAAATTAAAAAAAGATGCAATCATCTGGCTCCTGCGGCGGGCGCTCACCCACCTGAAGAACATCGGGAGCGAAGTTAGAGTCATTTTCTGTGACTTTTCCAGTGCTTTCAACACCATCAGTTCTGCTCTGTTGAGGGGGAAGCTGGAGAACGCTCTCAGTATGCGTGGCTGGCAGTCAGAGGTGGCAGTCTGTAGTACCGGGGCCCCCCAGGGCACCGTTCTGTCTCCTTTGCTCTTTAGCCTCTACACTTCCGACTTCACCTAGAACACAGACAGCTACCATCTCCAGAAGTTCTCAGATGACTCAGCCATTGTAGGCAGTGTTTCTGAGGGGAACGAGCTGGAGTATCGATCGGTTTTTGTGAACCATGTGGACTGGTGTGAGAAGAACCACCTGTGTCTGAACACCAGTAAGACCAAGGAGATGGTGATGGACTTCAGGAGAAGACCCCTACCTCACTCCCCTGTGAACATCTAGAGGCAGGACATAGAAAGTCAATAATAAACTGGACTGGACTGGACTCATAACAGCGGCGCCCTGTATTAGAAGGGCCAGATCCGCCTTCCTCCACCTCCTGAGGAGGCTGAGGTTCTTTGGAGTGAGCAGGCCCCTGTTTCAAACCTTCTATGACTCTGTGGTGGCATCAGCCCTCCTCTACGCTGTATTCTGCTGGGCCCCTGGCAGCGCAGAGCGGGACAGAAAGAGACTGAACAAACTGGTGAGAAAGGCCGTTTCTGTCCTAGGCTGCACTCTGGACTCAGAGGAGGAAGTGGCTGAGAGGAGGGAGCTGTCCAAGCTTCCATCCATCATGGACAACACCTTCCACCCTCTGCACCAGACTAGAGAGGACCTGAGCAGCTCTTTTAGTCAAAGACTTTTACATCCTGTTTGGAAAAAGGAGCGCTACCGCAGGTCATTTATCCCCGCTGCAATCAAACTTTACAATGTGCAATAACCTGTTTAAATAAGAAAATTCAGCTGTTATATATATATACACACACACAGTACAGACCAAAGGTTTGTACACACCTTCTCATTCAGAGTTTTCTTTATTTTCATGACTATGACAATTGTAGATTCACACTAAGGCATCAAAACTAGGAATTAACACAGGTGGATTTATATACCTAAAAAGTCTGAAACAACTGAAAAGATCTTATATTCTAGGTTCTTCAAAATAGCCACCTTTTGCTTTGATGAGCTGCCAGAGGTAGTCACCTGAAATATATATATATATATATATATATATATATATATATATATATATATATATATATATATATATATATATATATATATGCACTGTATATACTGTGTATACCCCATGAACCTTTTCGTCCTTTTGGCACCCTCTTCTTACTAGTGCGCCGATCTGACAAGTTAATTTCTCCAATGTTCTCCAAATTTTGTATTCAATTTTAATGTATTGTACAATATCTAAAATTAGGAAAATAATTATCTAATTAGATTTTGGACTATAAGAAATTGATTTTCTGATTTTTCAATCCTAAAAGAACCACCATGTGTGGAGGAGCAATACCCCAGAGAGCAGCTGCCCAGGGTGGAGCTGATGACCTCAGTTCTCCTTTGAAGAGATCACATCCCTGCGAAATCAATAGGAAAAATAAAATGCAGTAACTCTTTTGTAACCTGAGAAGTGTGCTAAGTAGGTGTTTTTAAAACAAAAAGGAAGGCTTTCAAAAAGTGTGTGGTAAATTGTCAAAGTAATGTCACCACTATAAGATATTTATTCTGCAAAAAAGTTTAGGGGTAAATAGTCCTTTAATGGGAGATATTCATCTGATTTCTTTGAACTGTTTTAAACTACATCCTGTTGGCTTCAGTTCACTTTTTATTTTGTTTTTCAGATTGTGTAACTGCAAGTTGTCAAAGATCAGCTGTGCATATCTGAGTGCAGCTCTGAAATCCAATCCCTCCAATCTGACAGAACTGGACCTGCTGGGAAATAACCTGAAAAAAGCAGATGTTCAGGAGCTTGAAGATCTAGTAACACATCCAGGCTACAAACTGGAGACTCTGTAAGTAGATGGTAAAAGTGAGTAAAGGTGGTGTCAGCAGTAAGGTACTAAACTCAATTGCTATCAAGGTCAAGATCCATTTGACCCGCAAAGGGTGTGGGGTGGTGATGCTGGTGGGGGTAGGGGTGGGTGGTAGTTGGGGGAGTGGTTAACAAGATGCACCAGAACACAGAATTGTCCACAATACTTTAAATAATTTCATTAAAACATTTCTTTCAAAAACATGGCTTCAGGCCTACTACTCGGTCCCTGGAAAGAAAAGGGATCATAGGAATAATTTTAAAATTATTTAAAAATAAATGAACAAACAAAACATGCAAAAGTAAACCAATCAGTAAATCAAAATAAAAGCAAACACATTAGTAATTTCAATAATAGGCAAACAAATGGTGAAAGAAAAAAAAGCAATTAAAACAGTGGAACAAATTGTCATTGTCCAATTTCATCTGCCTTTCAACATGGCCAGAGGAATCATGCCCTGCTGGCTCAGCCTGTCCAAGCAGCAACAGGTTTGGTTGAGACCGGCCAAAACAAGACAGCAGAGCATCCTAAGCAGGGCAGCTCCAAGACAATTCTAAACCAGAAAACCCTTTAGAACATCTGTCGGTTCAGAGCATAGGGTGGTAAAAGCCGCCTTCGTTTTATATTTTCTATTGTCTATGTATATTTAACTGCATCTTGCTTTAACTTTGCCCTTTATACTCTATATAAGCTAGTGGAACCAA